GCAGTTGCTCAGCAGAGAGAAGATGGTCTTTGAGGGCTGTGTCCGCAGTAGACACGGCAGCTCGGATGCTCCTGTCCCTTCTCTGCCGAGACGACTGTGCCTAATGCCAAAAGTCTGTGAGTGGTTGTAGTTTTTAGGAATCTGTTCATGGAGAGGGTACATAATGACACAAGCAACTGCAGACTTAGCAGTGAGAGTTTCAGATTATATTTCATCTAACTCAGCAGTGTCTCTGTTGACCCGCGTGTGCACGTGTGTAACATAATTGCGGTGTCTGGGAGGGAGGAGTGCTGGGCACAAGGACCCCAGCCTCCCGGCCCCTGGTAACTGGCCAGCGTAGAGCTTTTACAGGCTGACCCGGGGTCAAACCTCGGCTCCCATCTTGTTGCAACCTGTGATGGAAGACATGGAGGACCCATTGTACTTGGAAAACCGAACCAGTACCATGTGCACAGGGCTGCGGCCTGGAAGTGAGCATGGGCAGCCACTGGCAGGCGGCAGGTCTAGGAAGCCCATTTCCCAAGTTGGCGTTGGCCTTTGGCGGGCCTGGCACTGGACTTGCTCTTCCTCACATCTGTCTCGAAAACTTGTCTGCCTGGCTTTCTGGCTTAGTGGGGGGTGGGAGGGCACACAGGGCTGCCCACCTTGACGGGGCTGCTGGTCGCAGGAGTGAGCTCCCTCCCAGGCAGAAGGAGGAAATCCCAGGGCCTTGGAACCAGGTCTGAGGCCTAATCTGGAGGCCTGGTTCACACCTGAAAGCAGCGTACAGTCAAGACACCGAGTCACTGAGACAGGAAGGAAGTGAATTACAAGGTGTTTCAAATGAAAGTCATTCATTCATTCATAGACAGAGTCTTGCTATGCAGCTCAGGCTGGCCTTGACCCCACTGTACAGTCCTGGATGACCTGGAACTTGTAGTGATCCTCCTGCCTCAGCCTCCCAAGAGCTGAGATTATAGGGCTGGGCCACCATGCCGTTTTCAGATCATTTAACATCAGTGTTCTCTTTCCTGTGGCTTCCACCTGAGTTAGCTGTAAGCTTTCCCCAAGCAAGTGCAACAGAGTGGCTTGGAGCCGGTTGTCCCTGCCACGCTACCGTGGGGTGACTGCTCCAGCAGAGGGGACACTTTCGCTGTCACCGAGCTCCTTTGGGCTCATGGAGAGGGTGGTCGTCACACCAGAGACAGGTGGCAGCCGAGCTGCTGGAGGGGTGTGAGGGCAGTGGGCGTGGGGGCGCTGTCACCCATCTGGACCCCGGAGCCCCGCGGTGACAGCGCAGGCTGGACGACGACGCCTGCGTCTCCTTCCCTGTGACTGTGACTTCGTCCAGACCCTGTAGTAACGAGATGCCAGTGCTGTTGGGACAGGGCCCCGATGACCTCATCCTCCTTGGCCATCTGTTTCTTTCTTGCCTTTTTTTTGGTACTGGGGAGTGAACTCCGGTCCTTGTGCTTATGAGGCAGGTGGTGGCACCACTGAGCTACATCCCCTGTCCCGAAGACCTTTTTTCTAAGCAAGCATCTTGGGAGGTGCCCAGGCCAGCCCATGGCTACTCCCAGGGGAAAGCGGATGCCCAGACATCTGTCCTGCACACACACTGCCTCTGGGAATGGGACAAAGGAACAGCAGGGAGTGGCTCCAGGGCTGGCCGTCTAGGAACCAGGGCTCACAGCCCACTTGCTTGGTAACCTCCTGTGTACCCATGCTGGGCCTCGGTTTACTCATCTGAAAGGTGGGCACACTCCCTCGAGGTGCCATGGGCACCGTGATGGGATGATGGGGCCCTCGTGGGACTCGGCAGCCGTGTGGGAGGGGTGAGGGCTGTGCACGGAGTGTGCACGGCTGTCCCGCGACAGTGCGGTGTGCATGGGGTCACTGAGGAGCAGCGGGGCAGCCGTCTGTTTGGCTGGTGTGGAGAGTCTGGGGCCCGACATGGGGCCCTGGACTCTGGATGTTGGCAGGGAGGTGGCTTTCCTCTGCTGGCCGAGGGACACAGCCATCGGATTCACCAAGGCTGAGAGCTCCACGGCGTTCCCACCGAAGGGTCGTGGGGACCTCGGAGCAGTCTTGGGGTCAGCGGGGTTTTGGGGCGGACCGAATGCTTCCCCGCTCCAGAGAAGTTCTGTGAGGGTTGTCAACAAGAGCACGTGCTGTCCTCAAGGGGCCCCGGTCACTGGGGAGGGCCTGGGGCGGGCGTCCCCAGAGCAGGGCAGGAGGCTGGGAGCTGGTGCTGCCTGTTCCATGGGACCGGAATCGGAACCCTGCCCACCCCACCCGCAGCGGGGCCCAGGAGCGTGTGGGTACCTCGGCAGATACTCGAGGGTGCGTGCTTTTGAAGTCTCAGTGTTTGAGTGAGGACAGCTCAGGCCCCGAATGCAGTCTCTGACAAAGCTTACCAGACCAGCGGTGGCTGAGCCACGCTCTGGCGTTGGTGCTGGGCGGCTCCCGGCATCGCCGGCAAGTGTATGTGGGGGCGGTGGGCCGTCCTGCGTGTGCAGGGGACTCCGCTGTGCCGCCTTCCCAGGCCTGCTCCCTGCGGTCCAGGTCCTGTGCTGCTGGGAGCCGGTGCGCCGCGCCTTGAATGTGCTGTTGGCCTGGCGCTGGGAAGGAAGAGCTGTCTGCTGCCCCAGCCGGCCTTGCCTCACATCCATATACACCCCACACCCAGCCCGGGTGCGCGGGTCTCCACCCACATCCTTCTGCCCGCCCTGGGGCCCTGGGAACTGAGGTCCCGGTTACTGTGCGGGAGGAGCCTGGCTGTGGCACAAGACACACAGGGTCCATTCCTCACAGCTTCACTGCCTGGGAGCTGGTTTTCTTTCTCCCAAATGCTGTGGGCACTTTTTTTGTTTTTCTTCTTGGAGACAGGCTACCTTTGTAGCCCATGCTGGTCTTGAACTGCCAGTGACCCTCCCGCCTCAGCCTCCTGAGATCTGGGATTACAGGCGTGCACTAGCATGCTCGGCATGCCATGGACATGTTTTTCCTTGAGGCCCAGAGTGCTCCCGAACAGGTGGCCCCTGTCCCCCAGGAGGCTCTGTCTTGGAGGAGATGGACGGGCCTCTCCCCAGCCCACCTTTTCAGTTTTTCTCCTGAGCGCTGACAGTGGAACCACTGCACCCCTGTAGGTGAGGTGGGCACCCTGGCACGGAGCCCCTTCCAGCCCGGTGGGCCATAGGGTGCTTGTCCCTGTGCCTCCGCAGGTGCGTGTGGTTTGGGTCCCTGTCCCCATAACACGTGATACCCCGGGAGGTGCCGGGGTTGTGTGATTCACGGGGGCGGCGAAGGGGAAAACAGTGTCTGTTTTACGCTCTGGGAGCAGTGAGGCAGGCTGGAAATGGGAGGAATGAGTAACTTTACTGAAATGACGCCAAGGTCTCGGGACCTGTCCTGGGCGTGATGCCCCCGTGAACTGTTTCTGCCTGATGAGCGCAGGGCCCGGCCAAGGAGCACATCCTCGGACACCCTCTGGACGTGGCTTTCCTCGGGGGCCATTTCAGACTCAGGGTTGGGGAGTGGGCGTTGAGCCTGTGCCCTTTGGTTCCCCAGGTCTGAGGGGTCCCTCCCAGCTCGCCCCCTCCCGAGGCTTCCTGTCTCTGAGCGTCGCTGCCCAGCGTCCCTGTATCTGTCGGGCGGTGAGAAGCCTGACCCACCGTGGGTTCACACCGCTCCGTAGCTGTGGGCTCCGTGTGCCCAGGAAAGTTTACCTAGTCAGAAACAGCTTCATCTGTTTAACTCCTCGAGTATGACGATGTGCTGACACACTCTACCCAGGTAAAAGCCGGTGAGAGTCAGGCCCCGGTGGCCTCCCGGGATGTGGTGTCAGCCACACAGATGTGTCTCAGCCTTGGAGCCACTGCAGAAAGGCGCGGTTGTGGACGTGCCAGGTCGGTGCCCAGGAGCGCTGGGGGATGTTCTTCGTACCGTAGTTCTTGGAGGGTCGCAGAGGCGTGCGGCTCACAGGAGATGTGCTGTCTAAACTGGCCAGACAGGAGTCCTGCCCCATGCTGTCCTCACAGGGTGGGCATTCACTTCCTGGTCACAAGTTGTTCTGTGTAGTCAGCGAGAGCGCAGAACCGTAAAGCTGTGTCCTGTGCCCCATGTCATCCCGAGTGAAGACCTGAGTGTGTGGCTGCCAAGTGCCGCTCCATCTGGGCCCTGTGCCCGGAGTCGGTCTCTGACTGCGACCCCTGGGAGGAGGCCGCACAGGTGCTGCTGGGCTCAGGGCTGGCTGATGGGGCCCGTGCCTGCCTGCCTACTCCTGTCCCTGGCACAGGGTCACCATGTGCTGTGTCCACAGGCAGGGAGAGGACGATGCCCCTCTGAGAAGTTTGCATTTTTTTTTTTTTTTTTTTTTTTGGTTTTTTTGAGACAGGGTCTCACTATGTAGTTGAGACTGATCTGGAACTCGCTATGTAGCCCAGCCTGGTCTCGAACTCACAGCGATCCTCCTGCCTCAGCCTCCGGAGTGCTGGGATTACAGGCGTGCGCCACCATGCCCGGCCTTTTAAAAAAAATTTTTTTTTTTTATGCTAGGGATCGAACTTGGCCCCTTGTGCTTGCAAGGCAGGCGGCAGAACCACTGAGCCAAACCACCAGTCCTAAAGTTTGCATTTCTTAAAGAACAAGCTGGGAGCTCTCTGTCTTCCAGTTTTATTTGAAAGACTTGCTCACTAGTCATGGAATGACAGCTCCAGTGCCAGAGGACTCGATGCACTGAAGCGGGGGACCCAAGGCAAAAAGGATGGTGGTGGTCACAGGGTCCATGTGATGGGCAGTGTCCACGGCATTCCCTTGGACATCACCCTCTCCTCTGTTGATGCCTCCCCGAGCAGGGGGCTGTGGGCAGTCTCGGGCCACACAGGAAGTGGAAGGTGGTGCCCTCCTCCTGGAGCGGGCTCCATCCACGCTCCAGTGGTCTCAAGGGTCACCGTGGCCCCTGCCCTGCTTGGCATCCCTTGCCAGGTGTCCCCCCCTGAGGGCTTGCTGCTCTCTTCCAGAAACAAGGCCACCAATGGAGACTGCCGGAAGGACCCCCGAGAGCGCAGCCGCAGCCCCATCGAGCGCGCTGTGGCCCCCACCATGGGCCTGCACGGCAGCCATCTGTACGCGTCCCTGCCCAGCCTCGGTGTGGAGCAGCCCCTCGCCCTGACCAAGAGCAGTGGGGACGCCGGCAGGGTCAGGGCGGCTGGCCTCTCCCCAACGCTCACGCCGGTGGAGCGGCAGCAGGTACACGGACCTGACGGGTGGGATCGGATGGGCGGTCTGCGGGGGCTTTGCTTTGGGCTGGAATCCTTTCCACTGTGATTTGCTCAGAAGCCTGGGACTGGCATGTATTGAAGGAAGACGGGGAAATTGCAGTGAACAGTTTGGTAGAAAAATGTCTTACGGGGCCGGGTATTCAGCTCAGTGGTTCCATCGCCTGCCTCGCAAGCACAAGGTCCTGAGTTTGATCCCCAGTACCAAAAAAGAAAAGAAAAATCTCTTAATGAAAAGTTTGGCTTGTAGAGGACCCTGTAGTACAGGAGGGCATGGTGGCCTGGGGAGAAGCCGTGACCATGGGCCCCTTGGCTGCTGTCACTGGGAAGTGTGGATGGTGGTGTGGGCCGCTGGGCTCGGATTCCTGCCAGGTTTGGGACAGATCCCATGGCCAGCAGAATCTCAGTCCAGGGCTTTGGGTGGTGGGCAGAGGTGCAGGCTGCTGTGAGTCGGGGGTCACTGACCTACACTTGCACCTAGGGAGTGGCCTGGGCAGTGCATGCCATCCCTGGCACCTGCCTCCCCCTTCGGAGCTCACAGCCAGGGGCTCTGGGGACACAGGGATGGCCCCGAGCTGAGCCTTAACCTCAGGGCAGTGCAGCACGGGGTCCTCCTGCTGGCACTGTCACAGCTGGGTGTGGCAGGGCTGAGAGGACCGAGGAGGAGAGTGGCTGGCTGTGTGGCATCTGTCCTGGAAAACAGGCTCAGGGTGCCGGGTTGCCTGGGTGTGAGGGGAGCCAAGTCCCTGGCTGCGCTGTACACGTGGGTTCAGTTGGGGCCAAGGCCCTAATGCGACAGTGGAGGGTTGGAGACTGTCCGGGGTGAGTCCTGCGGCTTGGGCCAGGAGGGGCCCAGATGCGGACCGTGGGTGGCTGTGTCCCTTTGGATGTCACCGACCCTAAGGCTGGGTGTCCCCTGAGGTCCCCGGGTGGCTGTGTCCCTTTGGATGTCGCCGACCCTAAGGCTGGGTGTCCCCTGAGGTCCCCGCCTACCTCTGCTGGTCTGGACTCTAGTAGGAACAGATGCCAGCTCCAGCTGCCCCTGAGGCGGTTGCAGAGTCAGAGGCACTTGTGGGACAGCATGTGGAGGTGATGGCAGCCAGATGGGGTCAGGAAGAAACCAACTTGGGCCAGCTCTGGCACAGGCAAGACCCTGTGGCCTACTGGAAGGGGCCCAAGGTGGTACTGGCAGACCTGTGGGATCCAAGGCCCCCAGATGCCCTCAGTAGCAGGAGCTGCGGTCTTAGCATCACGTTCTAGAGGACAGCACGGGATGGGGAGTGGCCTGGTGGCTGCGTGGGTTCTAAAGCCCTGGCCCTTTTCCCGCAGAACCGGCCCTCGGTGATCACCTGCGCCTCAGCCGGCGCCCGCAACTGCAACCTTTCACACTGCCCCATCGCGCACAGCGGCTGTGCCGCGCCCGGGCCCACCAGCTACCGGAGGCCACCCAGCGGTGAGTGTCCCTGGCCAGCAGCAGGTGGGGATGGACGCACGGGGCCTGCTGCTCCTCAGTGCCCTCGGCCCAGGGCAGTGGGTACCCACCTTCCAGACTCAGACGTGACCTGATCCTGTGTCCCCTGCCCCCACAGCCGCCCCCGCCTGTGACCCC